TAACTAAAAACCGCAGCACCGAGAAGTAAGGCCAAAGACATGTAACCAATATATGGCAGTGGGTCCCACTACCATTAAATATCTCCTGTTTTCTTTGAAGTGCTATAACTCTTTTATTTGTACTTTGATTGTTACATAACATATACCGAAATTCATAACTTTTTATTATCTTTCATATGACACCAATATTGAATATATAAAATAAAAAAAAAATTAACGCTTTAAAAATTACTGCGTATCTGTTTTTAAAGTGCATATACTTCCTTTGTCCCTTAAAACTTTGTCATCTTTCCTTTTCGGGACGTCCCTAAAAACTTTGTCACTTTCCCTTTTAATCAATGTTTTGTGGTTTCTGTTATTTCTCTCTACTCTGCACAAACCTCAACCACACAATTTTTATTTTATTATTCTCCGTGCCGGTCATGGTAAAAAACGACAGGGAAGCAATGTTTTACACAGATCATGGTAAAAAACGATCCTAAACAGTCTAAACTACAAAAATTAATATATATTTTTTCATTTTTCTATATGAAACGTTGCTTCCCTATAAAACATAATAAAAAATAAAAAAAAATTGATGTATTTCTAATTTAATAGTTAAATTTGAACACAAAGTTTTAATGTACGTTTTGTTTATTTGGTTTGGTTAAGCAATATGGTTGTGTGTAGGCCTGTAGGGTTGGGCGTGGGTTTGATATCCGGCACTGCTGGTTTACGTTTTAAACAAAAAACTTGTTTACTCATCTTATAGACTTATACGGAGTTTCATTATTCCCACACCGGAAGAGCTTAGGAAATTTCCATCCTCCCTTGCCTATATAACCGTTGAGCTTACTTATCTTCTTTCAGCCAGCGAGTATTTCGTTCAACCTGCCTAAACGGCCAGATGTAATCGGCTGAGAGATTGGGCTGGGTTATGGCGAGTTTTAAAGTTAAATTTAAAGAATCGGGGAAATCGTTTGCAATCGCGATTTGAGGCGATTTTAGCGATTCAAAAACGATTTTTTAATGATTTTTTCTAATTCCGATTTATTTATTAAGGCATGTCATTATGTTCCAAACTTCTATGCTTAAGTTGTTTCCTTATGTATATTTATTGGGAACAACTCATTTCTTCATAGTATATATTTTGATACTAAATCACTATGAATCATATAGATGCCTTTGCGTATTTATCAAACATATTATGTGCTTCTTGAAACTGGATTCCATATAAATACATTGACAACAATATAGTTTTATACTTTTATGAGGGAAAAACATCTAAATGAGAAGTATGAAGATATGATCCTAGTTGGGGAAGTATGATTTTTAATTTTTTTTACACCAACTAACCTGATAGGACTATCATCTTTTTAACTCACATAAAATGATCTGACTTGGAACTCGTTTGGTGGCACTATTTTTTTGGTTTATCAGACTTATCAACCAATCTTTTCACCAAATACGTAACTTTTGATTTCGCACAATCAATAGTGTAATAATAATAAAAAGTAAGGTTGAAGTTACTCAATTGTGTAATAATAAGAAAAAGTAAGGTTGAAGTTACTTTTCTGACTGTATTGGCTGAAGTTACTATAGATGATCCTTTTAGTTATTTTTCATATACCTTTTTCTTTATTTTATTAATAAAAATTAATTTAAATACGGAGTATAATTTTTCATAAATCAGTGAAATCAGCCAATGCAACCACTTTAGCCAAAACTTCATAAATATCAACAGAATCAACCGATTCAGCTAATTCCAGTGCTACCATACGGGCTTTTCAATAATGTAGAATCTATGAAAAGTAATGTATAACTGGTCGCCCTAAAATCAATATATATATATAGAGTCCCGTTCGAGTCAGTCCGGCCTGATGGGAACCGCCGGACTTATAAAATCTATTATTATTATTATACAATTAATAATAATTCATTTAGTTTTGATTTTATTTATAGTTAAGGTATTTCATTTCATTTTGTTAGTAGTTTAAGTTAGTTTAAATTGAGGTTGTAATAAATTTATTGTGTTAAGAGAAAATCACCTAATGTAGATGCACTACGTAGTATAAGATATCATTCAACCAAACAAATTAATGTGATATTCACTTAGTTTTAACCAAACACAAATGAGATACAATTGAACACATTACCATTAATCAAACATACCTAGCAATCTAACATTTTCAAAGTAACCCAACATTGTTTGTAGCAAACGGGGCCTCACCGTGATATGTGGCTGACACCTTAACTCTCAACTTACCATTCACAGAAACTCTTGTATGTCAACCAATATTATAAGAGGCGCTAGGCGTTAGTCGGGGTCAGCCCAACGCCTAGGCGGCTAGGCGGGCGCCTAGTCGGGACTAATCGAAGACTTAGAAATTGCATTTTTATCTATATTTTTGCATAAATATGATAAGTAATATTATATTTTTGTATGTATAAAATACATATATACATATACATTAACAAACATGAATGATAGAATTATCACATTTCATCATATATAGTATATGATAACTAATCATTTAACTTCATTTTGTTATAAATATAAATAATGATAAAATATAGGTATATATACAAACATATATAGTTTTATGACTTTTATCTTAATTTACAACTTCATTTCTTTATATCCATGGCTAAAGTTATAGTGTGCATATCCCTTAGAAAATTAAAATTAAAAAGTGAAGTAATGTTCGACGAATCTAAACAGTCTAGGTGGCTAATTAGGCGCTCTAGGCGGGCAACTTGGCGTCATAGGCGGCCGACTAATTCACCTAGGTGTCAAATCAATTAGTCGGAGCGCCTAAACGAAAATCGGGGCGCCCGTCCACCGCCTAGCGCCTAGGCGGGGACTAGTTGGACGCCTAGAACGATTTTTAGAACAGAGACGACAACTTAAGGGAATAAACAGAGAACATTTATTGGTGAAACAAACATATGTCCATGTGAAAAAAGATTAGTAAGGTAGTATTAAAAGCTTTTTTGCCCTAAGGTGCCCAGATAAGATATTCAACAAACACAAACTATTAATCTAGAAGCATGCAGGCTTTGGTGTCTAATTTGGGTAAGCTTTCAACAGTTCAGATAATGCCTCAACAAATTGTGGATATTGTGGAAAATGCTCACTCACCTGCGCACAAAACACAGTTACACAAGCGTGTGTTATTGTTAATATTCGTTTATTATACTACAAAGAAAGATGGATGGTGATTATTATTATTATATTTTTCATATAATAACATTAGCTAAGAGATTATGCATGACGGGATTACCGCTTTCACGAAAGAGTCATCATTAGTCCACTCATTGTAGTAATGAAACTGAACGTACATTTTAAGGAATGTTGTATACATGTCTTTGTCACTTTTTTGAATCTCCTGCAAGTTTACGAATTCTGTTCTTATTTCTCTCTTTTGCAAAGGCATTAAATGGTAGAAAGAAACTATATATGCACGCCATGAATTATTCTAGACATCATTATTACCTTTACTGTAGTTTTAAATTTCTTCCAAACTGGACTGCGTTCGAGCCACCAGCACTTATCCATCTCCATATCAACGGAATAACACCTCTTCCCTGCAAAATACCAATCTTTCAGGAGAAAGAATAACCTAACCATAACAAACTAGTGACCCAATCTTTATGAAATGATTCGACCCCTGCAATCATTCAACACAGCCAGCATCAAGAAGAAGCAAAAACCTTTCCCGACGCTCGAAGATTTCGTAGCAACAGAGTGCTTTCTCCCTGCAAATCCCAAAACCAAGCATGGAATGAGTGACAAAATTCAACACATAATAAATGAGCAGGAACTTACAACCAGAGAATAATCCATAATGTTTCAAGCGCAGAACAAACATATCCAGAAACCAACAATATGAAGTACCTCGCCCATTGTTTGAAGGTTGTGCAACTGGCAACACTTTCTTCCCTACAAATCCCACATTGTCCAGGGTGAATGAAGAAAGAAGTGGCCAAACTCAGGATATAAAGACAAGAAAAACACTAATGAAAGTGAAATGAATTAAAAATAAAAGCACAAACAAGTTAAAATAAACAAGATTATTTCAACAAGGAAATCAGAAACAAAACCTCTTCTGGTGCTAGAAGATTTTTCATCTGCAGAGCGATGCAGCGCACTCCCTGCAAATCCCATGTTTCAGAAAAATCTTAAATTGAGAAAGAGAAAGTGATGACAGACTTAAATCTTAAATTGAGAAAAATATCTAGATGTAAATGATACTCAAAAGTGAAACTATCAAACACATGAAAGAAAACATCAAATCCAGGCCAACTGGGTAGTACGGAGTACTTCGTATTTTACAAACCAAAATAAGAATTCCGGTGACAAATTTACACGACAAACAAACAAAACACAAAATGAAGAGACAAAAAAACTTCGAATATGAAGATAATTCTATTCATTTCACCTCTGGCCTTCCCCAAACCCTCAGCCAAACCCACTAGATCAAAATGCCAAATATATACAAGTTGAAACAACTTATCAACGGCTCAAGGAATTGCCTAAACCACTAGAAGGATCTCCACCTCCACAACCAGAGCAATCCTATCAATTTGTAATAAAACTAGAAGCATAAAAAAAACAGAACATACAAGTTCAATTCGAAGGAAAATCTTATTTCTAAATACGGACTAAAGAAAGATGCCGCATAAAACTATAGATACGAACAAGATTCCATTGATTGTGCTCCTGTCTTTTCCCAACCCAACCCCACAGCCTTGATCACGAAAAAGCTTCGTCTGAGGCCAACGACGAACCGGATCAAAGTTCGATTAAATTAGCGGACCAAGGAACGGCCTATACTTTTTATAACCCTCCCCCTCCTCGATAAGTCAAGCAGATTATCGCAAAACGCAATGAAATTCAACATTTACGAAACATACAAATCCGATTTTATACCTTGTTTCTCACTCTATTTTCGTCGCATCTATTCAGAAAGAATGACGGAGTCGAATTAAATAAAACAAAGGGCAGGGACAATTCTTACTTGTAACGGGAGCCATTTGAGATTCACCGTTCGTAATTCAAAAAACTTTGCTAAAGATAAGATGAGATATATATTTTAATGCAGGAGAGCAAGCATGGTTTTGGATTGAGAAAATGGGCAAATCCCTGGAGCGAAAAACACTCCCTTTTCCATTAAAAGAGGGCATATCCCCCTTAGTAGTGAACAACCTGGGGAGAACTTGTGGTAAATGCAAATATATCCCT